TTTTGATGCCGACCACTCCCGCGTTCTCATGGCAACACTCTTTCAGAACCAGGACTATGATGGATTCTGGAAGTTGTGGCGCAAATTGCCTCTGACTAATAGCCCACGTACCGGTGCAGACTACGAGATGCTTTTCCAGCTACATGCCGAATTAGGCGATGAGCTTCGCGCTCGAGACTGTCTGTCAACATGGGTGCCCATGATGACCCGGGAGGAAACTCCAATTCCCTTGCAGGGGCGGCTCCTACAGCATGTAAAACAATGCCTTGTTGTGGCAGACCCGGATATTGAACAAAGCGCGGCGAGCGGAGCTACAAGTGACTTGGCGCGAATATGGAACCAGTGCCAAAGAAATATCTAGCCTATGACCATCTTGGCTGTGTCGGACTCTATTGCATCCTTAGGGTGCTGTTGAACCATTGGAAATGTATATAACAATTGTATTTTTATAGTCTTGTATAATACCAAACCCCCTTGTATACTGGCAATCGATAGCACTTACCATATTGGGAACTACGATAAGGGCCAAGGCACATGCCGATAAGCCTCGGCTCAATCCGTCCAAACGCCGTCCGGGGTCGAGCACCGCATCCGACTTCATCTCCACATCTTCTGCCATTCCAAACAACAATCAATTCAGCGTCTGGAGGAGGATGACTGGCCGATATCCTCGCTATGGAATATCTACCCAGTCTTCAACAGGAGTTTGACGAGCTCAAGCCGTCTCTCTTCGGTAGGTTGCAATGCTCTAACGGTTCCGATGACCGCCGGCTGATAACGCATAGAACTCCTCGCCGAACAGCAACTGTCGGACCTTCTACCCCCATCCATTCGATATATCCTCGCGGTTGCCACCCATCGCCATCCTCGGTATCTGCTGCGGATACTGAACTCCTACGATGAGATTTACGCACTTCTATCTTTGGTAGTTGAGCGGTACTATCTCCGCAATTTTGGAGGCTCTTTCACCGAGAACTTCTACTCTCTCAAGCGTGAGCGCGTTCTCCTGACCAAGAATGGCGAGATCCCACGCGCCCAGCTCGGCGCTCCAGGGCCAGTCCGTGAGACACTTAAACTGCGCTCCTCAGATGTGTGGAAGAACTTGCTCATCATGGTCGGTATTCCGTATCTCAAGTGCAAGCTAGACGAAGGCTACGATATCCACGCCGCACCGCAGGCGTCGCTGATCATGAGTGGCGGTCCCCGATATGACCCTAATGATGACCTCCCGCCAAACCCAACCATCCGGCAGCGATTACACCACTACTATAAGTGGTTTCTTCGAAATGTATACCCATCCGTCAACGCCGCTTACTACTTCTCTATCCTGGCCTTCAACCTAGCCTACCTATTTGACAACACAAAATATTCCTCTCCATTCCTTTGGCTCATCGGCACTCGTATTCGTCGTCTGGGTGGTGCCGACCACAAGGCCATTGCAGACATGCTGGAAGCGAAACCAGCCGCTGGCCCCGGTGGCCGCGGACGCTCCCGCCCAGGTTCCGGCCTGCTAGGCCTACTGAGCCCCCAGAACCTCTACCCTCAACTCCTGACATCTCTCCGCTACTTCCTCCCCGCATCTATCTTTGCCCTGAAGTTCCTCGAATGGTGGCACGCGAGCGACTTCTCGCGCCAACTAGCCCGCAAAGCAACCGAAGTCCTGGACCTACCTGCTCCAGTCACAAACGGAATGGTCCTTCCATCGGAGAGAAAGAAGCTCGCCGAAGAGAAAGAGAAGAAGAAACAAGAACCTGACTCGCCGACGCGGAAATCGGCCCTCAAATCTTCCCGCAAACGCCCCCAACCGCCTATCTCGGCTACCTCATACTTACCTATCTTTACCGTCCCTCTTCCACCCCCAGATTCGGACGCGGCATCTACCTGTCCCATCTGTCTCAATCAGCTGGCAAATCCAACTGCATGCCAGACGGGGTATGTTTTCTGTTATGTCTGTGTCTTCCATTGGCTTAACGGAGAGCATCAAAAACAAATTGACTTCATGAATGGGGAAAACACAAGTGCCCCGTGGGAGGATGAGTCCGAGGGTGAGGAGGTAAAGAAGAGCGACAAGGAGAAGGCTGGTGGCCCCGGTCAGAGTCGGGAGGGGAAATGGGAAAGTGGGAAGGGCAGGTGTCCTGTGACGGGAAGAAGAGTGTTGGGTGGCACGGAAGGCCTGAGAAGAGTATTGATTTAGAATTCTACTGTACAAACACCCGTTATAGCATATATTACACGTGACATGGTCAATTACATACGCTTTTAGTAAATACTCCAAAGCTATCTTATTAAGACTCCGAGTTCTTAAATTTGCGGTATACCTATATTTCACCGTGGTACCATATATACACACCTCATATTAAGTACTGACGCCATCACAACACTAATCTTTAGCACAAAGATCCGGGTATAACCTACCAAGAGACCAAACCAGTCACTCACTCAATAACATACGGCTTCGCCCCCTCCCCAAAAATCAAATGCGGCCTTTCCTTTGCAACCTTGAGAATAGTCTGAGCAAAGACCGAGTTCGCCCATGCAAACCACGGCCTGGTATACTTTTCAATATTATTAACGTCGATAGATTCGTGCACAAGACCCAGGAGACTCGAGTTCCGGACAAGATTGATGCACTCGATAATCTCGGCGTCTGAGTCGGAGGTCTGGGCCTGGATGAGAAGGGACATTGGCCAGGCGTTTTGGAGGCCGACTGTGCGATTTTCATTAGAACTTATCTTCTAGTATGATGAATGGGGAGGGGGGTGGGGAAGGGAAAGTCATACTATGAGGACCACCAATACCATGGAAAGCAGATCCAGTCAGATAATACGGGTTACCATCCTTGCTGAGGACCATCTTCCGGGTATTCTGATATACCTCATCATCCTTGTCGACGTAACCCAAGACGGGGAGCGAAAGGAGAGAAGGAACGTTAGCATCGTCCATAAGAATGCGGGATCCGTAACCATCGACTTCGAACGCAAAGACATCTCCGAACTTGGGGTGATTAACTACGCCGTGTTCGCGGACTGCTTTGTCGAGATTCTCGCCTCGGTCTTGGAGCTGTTGCGCCAGGTCCGTTTTGCCACCTGCTTTGCGGAGCACCTCTGCTGTCTTCTTCAGCTGGACGGCCATCATGGCGTTGGGCGGGATAAAGAAGCCTAGGACGGTGGCGTCGTCGCTGGGCCGGAATGCACTGCGGATGAGCCCGGTGCCGTGGTTCAGCGGGTTCCCGACGCCGGCGAGGTTGAGCGTTTCTGTGCCTAGGGTGGTGGTGCGCTGGAAGGTGTACTGGTTTGTGACGAACTCGTCGTTGTTGAAGGTTGGCTGTGATTGCGCGTCTAGGACTTTCAAGAGGGTGTCCAGGGCGAGGTACCACCGGTCAGTGAGGAACTCTGTTGATCCTGTGTTTTCATATAATTCCGTCCCGAGGGCGAGGAAGTTGGCGAGGGAGTCGAGCTCGTACTTGCATTCGAATACGACGGACGGTTCGTATGCGGGGTGGACCGTGTCGTCCTGGCCGTTGTCCGTGGCCTGGATACCGCTGGGTGGTGGCGGCTGGAAGGCATTGCAGTATGGAGATTGGATGACGAATTCAGCCTGCGTGTTGATCGCTCCTAGGATGAGGTTGTGCAGGTTCTTGTCTTTCTTGGCTAGGGCCTGGTAGCCTGACAGTTGGTTTGTTGAGTCGCGCAGCCATTCTGCGTTAATATCGCCTGTTACGACGAAGGTCTGGGGACCGTTCCATTGCGATCCGGCTCTTTTGGCCCTTCGTGATGCTTGTGCGGTGGATCCGTCAGTGTGCCATCTGATGGTTGTGTCTAGGGTGTTGGGGAAGGCGTTCTTGAACAATTGTGCTAGATCTTTGTCTTCTATGCGCGATGTGATGTCTTCAATGACCTGTTCTACTGCTGGGGAGCTGAAGGTGCGACATTCTTGAGCTGGTCGTTGGAAGGGTAGGTTCAAAGGACCTCCGCTGTATGGGGGGCTGCGGAAGAGGGACTTAGCATGAGGAAGATGGCTGCGATCGCGAGGACGAATAGGGAACTAACTGAGGTGCTGTGGAGTATGTGAGATAATCCGGACAGGCCCGTCGCAGAATTGCAGGGTCGTCAGGTTGTCCTGCAGAGCCCTGTGCGTTCCAGCAAGCTGCAAGGGCGACGACCAGCGCCGCTGAGGAGCGCGTCATGATGGACGGGACTTCAGACGGCGAGTTTTGTGTTTCAGGTTGTCGCGTATGTATGGGGATTGCGATCAGCCTGGAACAGCGATCAAAGACTATGGATATTGGCGACAGAAGTTGGCAGTTAAGGGATGTGTTGTGGTTCCTTGTACGGAGTAAATTAAATGCCAAGTGGAAGGTGGAATGCGGAGAAAGCTCGAAAACGGAGGAGGGTCAGTGTTGTTTATATGCTGCTGTCTCTCAATACTAATTGAATACACAGTCAATATCGGAGGGGTCAACTTCTCGGAGAATTTCCGAATACCCTGGGAGACATGAAGGGTCACATCGCACTGTCACTGTTACACTGGGAAGAGAAGGCATGACTGTCGATCTCTTTATAGTCTGTGCATGCTAAATGAGGGTTTACTGAATCTTCCCCGCAAATCAACAAAACAAAACAAAACAATGATAACATCGGGAGGATCGGCATTTCAGAAGAACGTATGGTAATAGATCTGCCAATTCTCTGAAACACAGGTACTGAGAAGGTCTTTCACTGTAAAAGGCAGAAATAGAGACTGATGTTAATTTGTTATATCAGCCATGCTCCTCTCATTCTCTGGATGTCTGTCATCCTCTCACTTCTCACTACTACCAGCATCCCCCGCATGAAGTGGGTACTATGGACGGACCTTGATACGCCGAGTGAAGAAACAAAGGAATCATGGCAATGGATAGATATACTTCTATTATTCGAGGTAATGCGGACACGCAGGCTTGCAAATATGCTATTTGGTATACATAAACTCCCCCATCGCAGTGTAATACCCCAGACCACTTACTTCTTGCCGAAAAATGACATGATATTGCCTTGTCCTTTACCTGCAGACTTGCCTTTGGGTGCACTCACAGCTGGCTTCTTTTTAGGTGGCGGCGCAGGCTCGTCCTCGGAGAAGGACTCCCACGATGGCTCCTCAACAGTCACTGGGCAGTAGTAGTTAGCTCAAATTCATCTACAGTCATCGAATGCCTTACCTAAGTAGCCTTCATCATCCTTGCGGACCTGCTTCTTCATCACTTGACGCCTGCCACGACGACGGCCTCCCTGGACTGTTATTTCTTCCTTGAGCTCTGGTTTCTTCGGAGGTGGCTGATCAATGGGTTTGGATTCTTCCGGTGGCTCTGTGGCGTCGGGCATTTCTTCGTCTTCGTCTTCGTCTGCGTATGGTCAGATGATGCTAAGCTTTCAACAGGCTATGGTGCCATACCGTCATCCTCCATCATTTGTTTCAGCTTCTCTTCGCGCTCTTTCCGACTTTCGCGAGTTGCAGCGGCTGAGGTTGCAGACTTTCCGCTGTCGGGGAAGAGCTCTTCCGGTTCTTCGTCGGCATCATCGTCATCACCGAAAACTGTGTCTCATCTGTCAATATATCTGAGCGTATCTGAGCACCAAAGATCAAAGTACTAACCATCCTCCGCGCCACTAGGTTCGGCCTAATCTCCATTAGTATAGCTACTAGGATCACAAAGGAAGCTAGACTGACCGATTCCGCTGGGGTTGCCGATTCTTCCTTCTTCAGCTTCGGCTTTGCCTTCGCAAAGGAGCTAAAGAGGTTGCTCTTTTCTCGCTTCACCGGAGCGGCCTTTTGAGTAGGTTTGGATGTTGTTGAGGGTGTACTCTCCTGTGTGGGTACTTGTTCGGATACTGCACTTTCCTCCTTCTTTGGCTCTGGTTTTGTCTGAGACGATGTTGCTTCACTTGGCCGTTTCGAGGGTATAGTGGGCTTAGATGTAGTAGCAGCTGGCGCTGGGGCCGGCCGTGCGCCCGTTCTCCGCTATTCACATATCAGCACTATGCCTCCGATAAATGTAGATCCTCCGGGGTAAGAAATACCTTGACGTTCTTATTTTGGATCATGCCCCACTGCCCGCCGTACTCCAAAGGATCTTCTTGAGAATGGTTGCTCACCATCTCGCGACTGACATCCGTCAAGACATTAAGATCCTGCAACACCGTCTGCTGCAGGCTGTAGATATATATAGACGATATCGACTCAAATGTGGATTTCGCATCTGATGAGTAGCCATTAAGAGTTGCTCGCTCGAGTCTAGTACGGAAGAGACAAATGGCGCCCTACCTTCCAAGTCCTCCTCCCGTACCAGTAAAACAGAAGCCGTAGGAACAGTATCCGGAACCGAATCTTGATTGGGCATGGAGCTGCTCAGGTATGGACTGCTCGGGAATACATCGTTTCCGTTCTCTTCACCATTGGTATGGCCATTCGTAGCTGGTGCAGGCGCTTTCTGAACGCCCGTAACAATGTAAGTCGCATTCACGCTCTGCGGTCTCTTACTGTTCTCATTGCGGTGGAAGTCGTATAGCATCCTTCGCCTGATTAGTCGCAAATCAACCCAAGTGACAAAATTACAACCCACTGTTTCGCCAGAGTACTATGCACCCTCAAAGCCCGACTCAACGAGCGGAACGTGACCTGCGCAAAGCAACTCTTGTCAGCCGAAAGTGAATACTACAATTGTCGCAAAGAAAGAAACACCACATACCGTCCGGCGCTCATTGAGAACATTCTCCGCCAGATACCTCTTATAATCGGCGACAGCCATTATATCCAGAAACGCTTGATCATACGTTAGAATGATGGGGGGGATGAGCAAGTAAGTGTCGACGCGTCCAAACCACTTAACGCGTATCAGTCAGCGGGTCTTGGCTTGGCAGCCTTCCCAAATAGTTCAATTAATTACTACTCTTTCAATTACTTTTGTGTTGCGGCGAACCTCAACTTCCCCATCTCGTCACGTACGAACCACTGTTTCTCCCTGTCGCCATTTTCTCGATCTGCTCCCGCACATATGGAGCAGACGTTTGATCTCCCCGACTCGACCGACTGGCTCGGAACGCCATTGTCGCTCCTGACGCCACTTGAGTCCGCGCTCCGCTGCCAGGTGTGCAAGGACTTTTTCGACAACCCCGTTATTACCTCGTGCTGCCACACGTTCTGCTCACTGTGTATCCGGCGGTGTTTAAGCACGGAGGGGAAGTGTCCGGCGTGTCGAAGTTCGGACCAAGAATTGAAGTTGCGGCGGAATTGGGCGGTCCAAGAACTTGTCGAGGCGTTTCAGAATGCAAGACCTAGTGTGTTGGACCTGGCTAGACGCGCTGCAGCTGAAAACCAGGGAGAGACGGAAGTAGGAACGGCGCAACCTGCTTCGAAGAAGAGGAAGGTCGATGAGCGGGATGGGTCAAATACTGAGGTTTCGGAGGGGAGACAGACGCGGTCACGAACTAAAGGCGTGGAACGGCAAACTGAGCTTGCTCCTATGGAGGTAGTTGAAGATAGCCAGGATGAGGAATATGTTCCCGGTAGGCTCCTTCATACATACAGCGACTTTACCGTAAAACCTAATGCGCTATGGTTAGAGGACGGTCTGGTTGCTTGCCCAATCTGCAATCGGAGGATGAAGAACGAAGCAGTGTTTCGACACCTAGACAATTGCACAGGAGATCCAGCGCCCCCGAAGAAGATATCATTTGGGTATGGTCTAGATAGTTTCTTTTATACTCTAAATGTACTGACCCGAGTTATAGCTCATTGCAACCCATGCCTCCTGCCTCGCGAACACCTAACAAAGCGCCCGAAAGACTCCCAACAATAAACTATTCCTTATTGAAAGATAATGTGCTCCGGAAGAAGCTTAAAGATTTGGGCATACCAAACTGGGGCCAACGACCCCTACTGCAAAGACGTCACACCGAGTGGATGAACTTGTGGAACGCTAACTGCGACTCCAAAGCGCCAAAGTCCAAGCGTGAATTATTACAGGAGTTGGATGTCTGGGAACGCACACAGGGAGGCAGTGCACACCCCTCTGCTGAGTCTGCTGACTCCGTTATGCGTAAAGACTTTGATGCAAATGCATGGTCGACAAACCATGAAAGCGACTTCAAGCGACTGATTGCAAACGCGCGAAAGCGAAGCGATGCTTTAGTTCGCACGACCATCCCGTCCGCAGCTCCGGTTCAATCGCAAGAAACGCCCACAGTTGAGCAGCTTGTGGAGCCTGCAGCTCCAAGGAATACGCAGAAACTGGAGCAGCCACTCGTAGACCTCACAGATGCCGCCTATCCCATAATCCAACACGCACAGGAGCCCAGTGAAAGTGAAGAGCCTTATACACTTCCTGGATAAACCGTCCAATCCTCATGCGCATTCTTTCTTTGTCGTGTAAATATACCTTGGTCAGAGATTTCTCGCCGTTAGAGATGCCTTATACATCACTGTGCCGCAGTACTGGGGTTCTCCTCGACTGACATCCGAGAAAGCCTTTCCTCTAAATCGGAATCCACATTTTGCTCTGAGGCTGCGATGCGCGCGGCCTCCTTGGCCTTTTGTTCGAGATTGTCGAGCTCGGCGAGCTTCTGACGAGTCTTTTCTGCTTCCTCCTCTTCCATAGCCTGTCGCTCCTTGCTCTCTAGCTCCTCGAGCTCCTCGTCTATCTCCGCCTCGTCGACCTGGGGACCAGCCTCGTTCATTATGTTTCCAATCTCGTCCACCTTGGACATCTCGTCACGCAATTCATCAACCACATCTTCAACCCTCTCGGCGCCACCAATCTGTGTATTGAGGCCACGAAGAACACCGGTGCTTGCCTCCATCACCTGGACGTATTCAATCTGGCTGGTAGCCTGCTCTATTTTAGAGTAAACCTCTTCTAGCTGGGCCATGGTGTCTAGCCTCTGTTGCAGGTTACGTTCGGCCAACTTCTTAGACCGCACCGCCGAAAGCGCAGATATCCTGTTCTTGTTATGCAAAGCTGCCTTTGCGGTTGAGTTCAATTCGGAGATTTTGTTCTCCAGCCCTTCCACTTGTTTCGTCATGGTTGCCATGAGCGCTTTGATAGAGGCGACAGTGCTATCTTGCTGGGTAATTTCCCTCGGGGCATCATTCGAGGGTCGGAACTTGATTGTCTAGTAGATTGTTAGTGCGTCTAAGCGCATATAGAGACCATTATACATACCTTGCCATCATATGCAATGGCCCCGCTGTCGCGGGATAAATATAACAATAGAACATCAAAGTCCGCTTCTGACAGTTCGCTCTCCTGATTTAGGATAGTTCCAAATTCGTTCACAAAGCTCTCCTTAGAGTAAATGAGGTCGGTGTTTGACGGACTCTGTCCCATTACCCGCTTCACTATTCCCCCAGCAGCCTCCTGTTCTACTGTTAGCGTCTTGCCACAACCCCTAAATAGAAGCGCCCTTACCTTGAGATTCTCGACCAAAATCCACTCCTGACCCTGTAAACCAGGCGAAGACTCATCCGTCCCGACAACAACACCCTTCAACTGCTTCAACCCCCAGCTCATCACATTCCACGGATACAAAACTCCCGGATCAATAAGCCGCCACTGCGGCTTCTGCAAAATAGCAGGATTGACCCTATACACCTGCAATGGCACAATCGTTCGGTTCTGCATCGCCTCCTCCTGAAAAAAAAAACCTCAAAACATACATTAACACACCTGCATCCTCGAGTGGGAGAAAAGAAAGAAAGACATACCAAAACAGCCCCAAGCGCCACCGGCTGCCCCCATTCCGGGATTTCCAAATCCCGCAACAGCGATTTATCAGCGCGGAGAATCAGATGGTCACTTTTCCGCGTCGCCCCCTTAGACGGTGTCGAGAGTTGGCCGTGCGAGGAGGAGATGTAGCCGTGTTTTGCGGCTTTGGTTAGCGCTTGTTCCCATGCTGCGACATTGACGGCGTAGCCGTCGGGGTTGGTTTTGCGGTGTATGGCGAAGTCGGAGTAGAGAGATGGGAGTCGGTTTCTGGGTAGCAGATTCAATTAGCGTGGGGTTTCTTGTGGATTGGAAGGGTTGGGAGGTGTGAGTTTTCATACTTCCGGAATGCATCCTGTGATAGGATGAAGTTGAGAAGGTCGTTCATGTCGAGGATTGGCTGGGATTTGTAATCTTGGTTTATAGTGATATTAGAGCCTTTGGCGTGATTATGATGAAGAGCAGATGAGGCTCTGGTTTCTGTAGGCTTCCGAGCCAGACTGCTCCTCTGATGCAGGTGGGTTGTTTAATAAATCGTCGTAGTTGTTTGTTACTGTAGTGATCATTGATATGGACCGATAAGGCCAATGCACGTGATGTGGCTATACCTGATTAGTATAGCTACGCCTAGCCCTTCATGTGATGCGCGGTATATGACCAAGTGGGACTCCTGTCCATATGACGTATATAAACCTGATGGATTGATGGACTGAGAACATGGAATGAAGGCGGAACAATATATACATGCCTCTACTATTGACATTGTCTTTATCGGGTAGAAAACACCTTGTGTAACGGGTCAGTGTGCATGAATGAACTGACATCATCACTACGGCTCCTGAGTTGCGGTGTCTGAGATCGATATTCTTTCGCTTCATGCAAAATAGTTATTCACCAAACCTACATAGACACCCATCTGAGGCGATTGATAAAGAAGACTCTCAGACATAAAAATAAATTAGATTGGTCGTGTGTCTATCAAATGCCCTTTCTTTGTACGCCCATATATTAGCCATTGCATCCTTAAGCTCGTTCAAAATCGTCATTTGCAGGATTATCATCATCTCTCGCTCCTTGAGCAGGGCTAAGACCGCCTGAGTCCATCGGATTAGCGATCAGCGATTTCCGATTCTTCCGCTTGTCTAGTTTTTCACTCGTCTCCTCGGTTTCGAAGGCGTCTAGAGGATCGGCCGTCGCCGCCTCATCCCCAGTATCTAAGCCTCTAGACTCGAGATATTCAACCTTCACTGCATGTCTTAAGTTATCAACGAAGGCTTGCATCTCCGGTATGGGAAATGCGCCGTTGCTGTCCACAACATCTGCATAAAGGCGTTCGGCCTCTTCGAGTGACGCAGACGCCAGTGATGGCTTCCCTAGTCTAAGCCATAGGTCCGCAGCGAGAACACTCCACATACCAGCTTTTCGGTGCCGAGAGCCGAATTTCACTCCGTTGATTGCATTTCGGGAGGCATAGCAAGCTGAAATCCTTTCGCTGAAGAGCGCCTGACCGATAGAGCCCACTAGACTCAGGTCCATGGCCCGCATGGCCCATCTTGCGGCACTTTCGATTCCAGAACCTCCACGAGACTTCAGTAATTCCATGGACAAGGAGAGACAACGTAAGGCATGAGGTGCATCTGAGCATCTTGTAAGGTAGGAATAGCAGGCGGTTTCAATCATCTGATCGATATCATTGATTTTGGATTTTCCAGGCATGGAAAGAGGGTTCAGAAGCATGCTCACAGCACACATTTCATGGACGCCAGCATGGTACTTCCACGCTTTGTCATTCGCATAGTCTGACCGGAGGAGTTCGTAGGTGGATGCTGATAGCTTCCAGTCCCGCAGCATGAAGGCAAAGTCCGCCATCTTTCGGAGAATAGCCTCGGGTACATCCGGTTTGTAGAAGCCATGAGCAAGATCGTAATTTCCACTGGTTCCACCACCCGAGCCGATAAGGCTGGATCGAGAGCCAGACCCGAAACCTGCCCACCGTCGAGACATTGACATGAAACGGCCACTGATGCCACGCCTTCGTGATGCTACCTGATCATTCCAAACAGTTACTCGATTCTCCATATACGGTATCACGGACTGAGCGACCAACTCCCGGACGAAGGCTTTGATTGCAGTGACATCGGACTCGAAAAGATACGGCAGACCATCTGTATCAAGATCGACTAGAGGCTCTATTCGCTGTTAGGTCCTGTACACAAAACCAATCCCTAAAGGTTGTTAAACCCTACCTGATCGACCCGACAGACGCTCTGCAGGTGAAAGCCATTCGGCTTCGGGAGCCTGGCAGCTGTCGTCATCGGTCACAACACATTGGTTGCTCCGTAGTCTCAAGAGATGACAATGCAGGCCAAAGTGACGTTTCATTTGGTCGTAAAGCTTCGTTGATTCCGTGATGTCATCGCGATCCTCGTCATGAACTAGGACATAGTACCGGAGGTACTCGGGATGAACCCACTCCGGTAGCTTCCTATCTCCATTGCTGGTGTCCGCATATAGCCGTCGTAAAGTCTCAAGAGGAGAAGTGTTCCGTGAGCTAATGACGATAACGCTTGCCACGGGGTGCCGGAATGTCTCATGCGGGGTTGGAGAAGAGACTGATAACAGCTGGCGCAGAAATGATTTATATAATGGAGATGTTGTAGGAAAACTGAGAAAATCCTTTGGCCGTAGTATACCTCCCAGTGGATCATATGGCGCTTCCAGTTGCCTCTCCAGTGCTTCCTCTAATTGTGTCAGAGGCGGCGCTCTCGGTTCAGAGGAAACCTGTGGGTTGTCCCCCAAGTCGACAAACCGGACCCCATAATCTTCCCATCCACGACTTGCCCCTACACTATCACGAACCACGATCTTCCCAGGAACAGTCTCTCCAAAGGGGCGAATCAGCTCCCAAAAGCCGCCCGCAAAGCCTTTTTGTCTGACTAGTTCATCAGTATCGACCGATGCGTAGACCCCGACTACTGGGGAGAATGAGCGTATTATCAAAGAGCGTATATCTTCAGAACCATCCAGACGTCCTTCCGTCGGAGAACCTAGTGATGATCGGGCCAATTGCGGCGTTGACGATCTTATAGATCGAGCATGGGGCGATGCGGATCTAATCGGCAGCTCCGCCGCGGTGGCCGAAAGAGGGGGTTGCGGGGGAGACGTGGCAATTCTCGAGTCTACTAGGTTCGAATCTAGATTTGGAGAAGAGTCGCGGCGCTGATCTGGGTATCTCGTCTTGGATGCGACTCGCGGAACGCCGGGCGAGAAGGACGGCGGAGGTCTGACCGGAGCAGCATCTCCGGGCGATGTCATGGACTCCGAGTGGATGGCGAAGCGGGACTTATAGAAATTGAAGGGACTTTAGAGCCCATGGAACGAAGCTATAAAGACAAAGAGGGGGCGGGGGAGGGGGGGGATGCACGTAGGAGCGGTTAGTATTGGAGTAACACGTGGGTTTAGAGAGAAGGAAGAAAGTGGAAGACGGAGATTGAGGGACAAGGAGGAGGGATGTTGTTGTTGACGGGTTGGAGGCCAAGTCACCACGGCAGAAACACCAACGCAACGTGATACAATAATTAAATTTACCAAATGAAGGATTTAGGTAGTAGAGGTAGACTTATAGGTACGGGAATTATATTCTGCCTGGACAAAGAGACCCATAGGAAATTATAGTAAAACTCAAAAAGCTGCAAGGGGAATAAATTTCATTCACGTTCAATTACAACTCCATAAATGATTGACCAGCACCAAATGATCTCAATGCCGACAAGGCGGAAGGCGGTGATCCCTGCTACCTGATCGCAAAGTATAAAAAGACGGGCAGAATGAATGGAGTCATCAATGCGGGCACTGACAACAAAACTCCATAGAGTCATACTGTAACCTCGTCTTGTCATGGAAACTATCCATGTTGAAACCCACTTCTTTACGCATTCTTCCTGAGATATATCAGTTCAGCCCCACCCAACAATTTCTGCGAACTGCCTATGTTTCCACTCAATCTACAAGAATCCCGCCTAATACCAGAAGCACCCCACTAAGACCACACCCACCGATCTGTCGCTGGCGCCAAATTGTGTGCAATTATTCCATGAACCACAAGAAACCTAGAAATTCTTCTCCCGGCAGAGCTACTAAGAGGAGACGCATTTCTTCCCCTATCTGGCGCAAGAACCCTTCCGACGCAATGGCCGCGACATCCAACCAGACGCTTCCTATAATCCAGCTCACGCCCCTCGAGAACACACTGAAATCCCTCCTCCTAGATGTCGCAGACTATATACGAGAACGAGCGATTGCAAAAGGAGGCAATGCGGCGGACGCCCCATGCACGGTACTGCGCTTTACAGGAGGCTGGGTGCGGGACAAGCTGCTCGGTATCGATAGCCATGACATCGATGTGGGCATAAATAATATGACAGGCTACCAGTTCGGACTCCTGCTTAAGGACTACCTAGATATCCCAGAAAACCTGCAAAAGTACAAGAAAAACCACAACAATGGCCAGCTCAAGGACGCTATCGTCAGTCTCCATAAAATTGAGGCTAATCCGGAGAAGTCGAAGCACCTGGAAACGGTTACTACTAAAATCTTTGGGCTAGATATCGATTTAGTCAACCTACGGAAGGAGACCTACTCGGATGATAGTCGCAATCCGCAGATGGAATTTGGCACGGCCGAGGAGGACGCAATGCGCCGGGATGCAACCATCAATGCCCTCTTCTATAATTTGAATGAGTCCAAAGTAGAGGATTTTACTGGGAGGGGCTTTGAAGATATGAGAGACCAAGTAATCCGAACACCAATGGAGCCGTATCAAACCTTTAAGGATGACCCGCTACGTGTACTACGACTCATTCGGTTTGCCAGCCGATTAGGGTATCGCATTGATGAAGAGACGGAGAACGCCATGAAAAACAAGGATATCAGTGAAGCACTCAAACTGAAGATCAGTAGAGAGCGCGTGGGGACCGAGATGACGAAGATGCTCAAAGGTAATAGGGCCTTTGATTTACAACTATGATTTCCACACTCACAACATATAGGTCCCGACCCCCGAGGCGCTCTTCATTTTATTGACCGCCTTGAACTATATCAAACTATTTTTGCAAACCACCAAGATGATATCGGCGTGGATACATCTTCCTGGGCTCTTGCATATAATGCTCTGCAGAAGTTGTTACATTCCGAGGACACTTCGATACCTATTGTACGCGTGCGCAACCTACTCATTCGCGACGCCCAAGAAGCTTACTATGCTTGGGTGATCGCCGCATTCGCACCTTGGTCCACGGTGCCAGATCGAGTGGCGCAAGGACCGAAAGAAAAGCCACCCCCTCCCCGCGCGGCGGAAGTCGCTAAGGATAGCCTTCGTTCTGATAACAAAACGATCAACTTGCTCCGTGATGCGGCTCGTCATTGGCGCTCTATCGTGGACGTGAAATCCTCACTTCTGGAAGAGCGCATGAATGGCACCGCGGCAGAGATTCGACAGCAAATTGGATTGTACATCCGTACATGGAACAAAGACTGGAGACTCTGTTGTATTTTGGCGATCTTGCAAGAAGTCGCGCAAGGCGGCGAGTTCGGCAAAGGTGAGCTACTTCCCTACTTATCCTTGGCTTCCAAATTGTACTCACTCGTATGTGCTTGGCAGTGATCCAAGAGTACCACAAGTTTCTCTCATACCTCGTAGAACACGACCTGGAGAACGTGTACGACATGAAACCCATCGTAAACGGGGTTGAAATTGCCCAAAACCTTGCATCACCCAAAGGACCTTGGATGAGTAAGGCTTTGGACATGGTGATCAAGTGGCAGCTCCTACACCCGGAGATCACAGATAAGGCCAAGGCATTGGAAGAAGTGTCAAGTCGAAGGGAAGAGCTCGATATACGCTCGAAGTGACGGAACCAACCTCAAAAATAATATAACACTTTAACCCAGCATGAAAGTGAGAAACTGTGTAGAACTTGTCAACAGACCCTGAAGTAGCTACCAAAGTTACAGTCTGTATGGTCACGAATAAGCCAGGCGGGATATCTTTTCCCTGGTGCACAATTCAGTAACAGGGTTTCCCAAGAAAGCAAAAGTGGAGTGGAGGCCAAGCAGAATAGCGTCATCAAGCAGCCGTGGCTGCCCATTGACGTAAGATTAAATCCACATGAATCCAACTATTCGGCGTCAACAAACATAAAACAAAGTCAATCCATGAATATCCCCTGATAAGGACCCCATAAGACCAGTGAATATAGACATAGACATATTACATATATCAATCTCCGACAAAAACACCTCTTCTGAAGAGAAAACTCCCCCGCCTTCAAAATGAGCACTACGATCAATACATCCCTAACCACAATAACGATCGAGGGTGCAGGGGCCGCAAGCGTGAGTATTTTCTTTCATTTCTAAAAGTATAGCACTCACATCCCAATAGACAATAGGGTCCCGACCAACCCAGCAAGACCAATACACATTCCTCCTCCCAGAGAACTTCTCAACGAAATCAGGCGATAAGATAGCTTTCTTCGCAGTTTACGACGGACAGTATGTATCGTCCCCTTCAACTTAAAATATGAGCCATTTAACCGAAACCATGATAAACACAGTGGCTCCAGTAAAGTATCCAAACACGCCAACGAAAGCATACGGCGCTTCTTACAAGAAAGCCCGCACCTTGGATCTGGTCTGTACGAAGAGGCTATCAAAGAAGCGGTTAAAAAAGAAGAAGCGGATTTACTGAATGAATTCCGCGATGGCGAGGAGCAATTCGCGACAACGGGGTCGACTGCTTCTTTGGCTTTGGTCAATTTGACCCAGGGCTTTCTGGTCGTTGGGAACCTGGGCGATTCGCATATTCTAATGGCAGATTATACTGGTTCGAGTGACGGGGCTACTAATATCGTACGTCATCTGTGTTCTGCGTGGATTGATATGTTCGAAAAGACAACACCTAATTGCAATAAAGCGTCGGATAACGAGGTCACATAAACCGGGTGATTCTGACGAAAAGAATCGAATCATGGATGCCGGGGGTATGGTTAACACCGATAGTGGGACGGAAAGGCTAGGTCAGTGTTCCTGTCTACGACGACTAAGTTATGAGTGCATGATTCTCTACAAGGCCACTGACACGGACGATATAGGCTCCCTGAACATGTCCCGGGCACTGGGTGATCTCCAGTATAAGGATCCCCTCATTAACTCGGGGACGGGGCCGCTCACTGAAGCACAGATCCGGGCTGATGTCACGGCTTCGACTGACCAACAGAATCTTTTATCGAATGAGCCGTATCTGACACGAGTCGATCTAAATGATGGTGGTCAACATGTTTTAATCTTGACCTCGGACGGCGTGACTAACGGACTTGAAGATGAGATCCTCGTACACGGGTTATTAACATGTTACCGGTCTGGGTTGAATGCGACAGAGTCCGCGAAATATATTGTCGACGAGGCTGCAGACGTACCGGGTAGTGATAATGCTACTTGCATTGCAGTTTTCATTGGTGGTACGTCTTGAGTTGTGGCCTATTGTTCTCAATGTATGCGGCCGGACATGTAAATACACGCTTGGATTTTATAGATCTTTAGACCGAAGAATGTGATAGATTTTATACGTGGACGACGGAGCAGTGTAGACAGCGCTTATGAAACAGACAACTTCACTAAAACATCTCTGCTTTGTAAAGAAATGCATATATTATTATGCCTTGAATTACGATCACCCATTCAACCTGCATGACAGCTAAGATAATTCGCCAGTCTCGCCAGGCTCAGATAAGCAAAACATGCTTCAATAAAACTGGAAGGTTAAAAGCCGCTGTGCGAAAAGACCCATGAACAAGTTTAAAGTTAAACGAAAGAGGAAGAAAGACAGCAAATGAGAGTTGTTACTTCTGGATATGACGAGATAGAGCTTCAATGAAAGCTTCTCCCCACTTAGCACTATCCAAACAGAAGTATTGGTTAGCTTAGAAAAAGTACGAAAGGGATGAAATTGGCAACTTGCCTTGTGTGGGTGGTGATAAATTCTCGTAGACTCTCATATCGCTCCTTTCTTTCCTTGTCGTCCATGCTTATTGCTTGATGAACTGCATCTGATAGCTCCTGAACGCTGGATGGGTGGAAGGTAACGCTGCCGCCAGACATGAAGGAGGCAGCCCCTGCAAGTTCAGAGAGTACAAGGACTCCATGCTTATTCTCCTGGCAAGCCACATATTCAGATGCAACCAGGTTCATGCCGTCCCTGCGGGAGGTGAGAAGGCAGATATCAGAAATGCAGTACAAGGCCGTCAGCTCAGTAAAAGAAACAGATCGGTGTATGTAAATGAGTGGTGTTCCGTCGGGTGTAGCTAACGGTATTAGCACGAAGGCCGAGAGCGAGGGGTGGACTACATACCATGTTCACCGTTTATCTTGCCGACAAGCGTAGAAATCTCCTTCTCGAGCTCCTGATATTCCTTCACGTCCTCACGACTGGGTATAGCCACTTGAATCAAGGTGACCTTGCCCTCCAACTCAGGATAGGTCTTGAGGAAATGGTCCCATCCCTCCAGCTTCTGAACTAGACCCTTGGTATAATCCAACCGATCCACACCAATAATAACGGTTTTACCCTCATACCGCCTCTCTAGCTCTTTGATTCGTTTCTGGACGTCTGCATCTTGCATAGAGTCATTGAACTTCTGCGGGTCGATCCCGACCACAAACGTGCCAACACAAGCTGTGTGTCCTTCATATTCAAGCTGGCCTTCTTTCTCATAGGCGCCCCTGTAACAGTATTAATACAAGCACCATCAGAAGATTCTGACTAAACAAAGACAATCCCGACTCACAAGCTACGTTCACAGCTCTCAGTAAAGTTCCGCCTATACTCATCCGTGTGGAACCCAATCACGTCGCAAGCAAGCAAGCCCTTAAGTAAGTCCTTCTGCACAGGAATCGCCCTCCAAAAGTCTTCCGCAGGGAATGGTGTATGCAATGTAAATCCAATGGGGCAATGCTTGCCTTGCTTCTTCAGTCGCTCACGCAAAAGAGATGGCAAGAGCAATAGATGGTAATCGTGGACCCAGATAAGATCCCCGGTAGCGGCTTCTTTGGCGACCGTATCAGCGAAAATCTCATTCACACGCTTGTATGACTCCCATGCATTCTCATTGAAGGCAACTCCAGATTGGTAGTGGAGAATGGGCCAGAGGACCGAGTCTATTGATGGTTAGTACGTCGGTGGATGATAGATTTGGAAGAGAGGTTGCATTACATACTCGAGAACTTGTTATAATGATCTTGCGCCAACTGCTCGCTCAGGAAGATCCCTACCGCGCTATTCTCTGCCAGAGCGTCCGAGACCTTTTTCTGCTCTTCCGGGTCCTCGATAGCCTTGCCAGGCCAGCCGAACCAGCGGAAGTTCGTTGACTTTGTCAGACCCGATAGGGCTGTTACAAGACCACCGCTGGATAAGCTGGACTTGTATGTACCATTTTCCTCCTTGACTGATAGTGGAAGACGGTTTGAGACGATAATCAAACCGCGCTTCTTCTCACTATTTGTCGCCATGTTTGTTGAATATTGAGTCTTAAAAGAGTAAGCTAGTTCTGTTTGTCTGAAATGCGTCTAGTCGCTAAAGCTCAGGTTAAAGTCTTTGGTATTTTCTAAGCAAGAGTACTATGTCTGAAATAACACTACTATAAGAGGATCATCATGATATCCCTGAGTCAGCGTGATGAAGCTTCTTTTCGTGGTGAATTGAAGTGTACGTATACAGATGACGTCATAATGATAATGGTAACACTCCAGAGCCAAGATAAGGTAATTCTTGGCTACTGCCCGCGATCTGCTTGTCTCTAAGAGTAGGAACAGGGCTTCCTTCAGTCAATAGTTAGAAAGTGGCGCTGGGTTCTGTGCTATACTCAGTATAATGGTGACCCTATATAGGACACTTGGCCAACAAATCATCAGAGATCCAGAGATCCTAATGGCGGGAGCAGATGCCGCCAGAATGTAGTAGAACGGAAGATATCCGACTCCCCCCTACAGGTTAAAGAAGGCATAAGCCAATGGCGTAAGCTATCCTGTACTTATGTGAACTCAAGCCAAATAGAGTTCTATCGGTACGTACCATAACATGGAAAGCTATTTTAAAATGGACGTTGCGAAAGGGGGAATTGGTATCCAAGACTTTTGATTAGTTCCTCGATTGCTGCTTTCCGTGGAACAAACTGTGAGTGAAAACATATAAATTATTATTCTTGGTAGCAGTATCTATACTCATCCAGCATACGGTGCCAGCTGTTGAGTACAGGTTTGTCCGAATAAGACCGTATCCAAGATGCTGATTAGTACGCACACATACAGTTTCACTTCCATGAGAAAGAAAGCTCAGATAGATTGTTATGCATGTATCCTAGTTATCTGTCTTCCGAATCATTACAATATATATAGAGTATTTTGCAGCCTTTAGTGGTTAATCTGTCCAACAACACACACGAACGTGCCCTAGTCAACAGGGGATAATTTCTTTGTTTTTTTGCATACGTCGAACTACAGTAGCATCTGCCAGGTTCATTAGCCTGGAGCACCAGTCTCGACTCCTCATTATGATCAGTTGCTTAGGTGTGATTGAAATCTTTATTGCTAATGAGGTGACTTTATTTTGATATATTTTCTGGTGGTTCCTCAGGCTCTCCATAAATAAAGCCAAGCGGGCTGACCGATTTCGTGATGGAAAGCGGCACTCGACGTCACATGTTTTCCTGCCTCCTTTCTGCCCATGTTCCTCCTACATCACTTGTCGGTCATTGTTCCAGCAAGTTCCATGGTTTCTTCATCGCTCGGCACTAGTATCAAACCCTAAATTTTTAGCCCAAACAGCCCTGCAGAGGATCCATCCATTACAAGGCCCGTCGATTAAAAATCCAGGCAAAACGACTGGACACTGGGCCCATAAAGGTTGTATGACAAACAAACACTTGTTATTGGACGCGATGGTTCTGGTGAACCTCGAACTCTGCAGCTGTGGTGTCGACTATTGGGACCTGGAGCAAGCTGTGTGACCTAAGTAGAAAATGACGAGGAAACGGCTCATACACCTGTAATGGTGGCTTCTGGGGTAAGTATCGAATGGCCCAATGAGCTGTGGTGCATTTGTAACGTCGCCATGACATCTTATTATGAGGCGTGCGTCTGACCGTGGGATTGCTAACAGAAAGGCAAGATATAAGGGTCTGAAAGACCTGCTCTGGAACTATGGTTATTTCATACAAGAGCTACTCGCAATCATCTTAATTCCGTCGTACTTTATAATCACCGACATACAGTTTATCGATCAATAACCAACATGGCGCCACGTGTTAGCGATGCGATCAAGGAGGATCACCGTGAACTCGAACAATACTATGATCGTATCACTCAATCGACTGACCAGGACGAGCAGACGAGGTATCAGAACCTGTTCACCTGGGAACTAGCTCGTCATTCCATCGGAGAGGAGCTCGTAATCTATCCAGCAATGGAGGAACATGTCGCCAATGGTAAAGCTCTGGCAGAGAAGGATCGTAGGGAGCACCAGAGCGTGAGTTATATTGCATAAATCCTACCAAGACAATGAAGCTCATAATAGGACAGGTCAAGGAACAATTGAAGAAGTTTCAGAATCTTAAGGCTTCAGATGCAGACTTCATCCCGACTATCGAGGCTCTGATGAAGGATCTCGCGCCGCATATCAAAGAAGAGGAAACAACCGATTTACCAGCTTTAGAGGAGGCCCTGTCCCCAGAAGACAGCGAAAAGCTTTCCAAGTCCTTTGGTCGAACCAAGATGTTTGTGCCTTCTCGTTCTCACCCGAGTGCTCCGAGTAAGCCACCATATGAGACGGCTGTGGGCCTTCTTACAGCTCCCATTGATCACCTGGCGGATCTTTTCCGCAAGTGGCCTGATACCTCTACCATGCCTAACCCGTCTACCGAGTGAATCTTTTGTCCTTCAGTGAAATTGTAATGGGGGAAGCAACGTTTAGGGGCCGGCAAAATATATGGTTCTGGGTAGCGGTGTATGTATTTGAATATCTTAATGTATAGTCGTCATTTAATGTTTTGTTGAGTTTGGTGTGTCTGATTATGTATTGCGAATTATGAGAAATGTTCTCTTTCCTTACCTTTTGACAGCGCTTTCGAAATCATGTATGGTGCCAACAACAAAATTAACGTTACTGGAAACTACTATTAATTCGGGCTAATGAACTCTTGACTGCATGTACACTGGAAAGCAGAGTGACATAATAAATCTTAGGTATGGATATAGTTGTATATAATACACGGCTAATGGCCTCTTCTTTTCACATGTTGCTCCAGTCCTGAGCCTCGCAACTGACTAATATACATCAACCCTCTCGTTACGAATATATCTTTTCTCCTCCTACAAAGCCATCCCCACCAAGCCCAAAGCCTTGCGTCCAGCCTGGACTTGTTTTCCGTGCCTCGCGAATCTTCCAGAATATGGAACCCTAACCCAGGTTAGTCCACTTCATCCAAGAAACTCATGATTGTCGGGAAGAACAGTCACCTACATCATACACAGCACGCAAATCTTCCTTATAAACTTTACCATCCTTCTGTATGAGAAGCCATGTAGTCCCCCATTCGAAGAAAGCCGCGCCCCACTGCACAGGATTTGCGATTAGCATACATAGTGTTCAAGACAGCAACAGAATAATGAACATGGATACTTACCCCGAACGGATCAGCAGCACAGCGATGGCCATGCATCAGTTGGAACAACTCACGTAACGTCAACGCTCCATCATTGTCCGAGTCCCACTTCGCAAACAGATTCTCGAAAAGCTGGGGGATGAAGCGGCCTTCCGGGTCATAGGTACCGCTGTCCGAGCCGTGCTGGAACCAACCAGTCAGTCCGTGATGCTGGTTGCTACTATGATACTGCTCAAAAAAAAAAAAAAAAAAAAGACCTACCTTTGCCTTGTGCACACTCCGTACGTAAACCCGAAACCACGGATCCGGGAGCCAGCTATAGGCCAGCCGAGTCGGGTATGAAAAGTTGATATTGATGATCAAGACTGCTAGTATTGAGAAGAGGATATTGAACCCCAATTCACGGAATCCGATATAAGTGTCCCATGGGAAAATCATTCCATCGCCATCACGGTCCCAGAATAACACATGCTGTTGGAGAGTGGTCTGTCCATCAGATATGTCAGTTATATATAATTCAAATCGCCGGACGCCATGTCGGAACGTACGTATTCTCCAACCTTACTGGCCCATTCTTGGTCGCCGAGTGGTTTCTCAATGGATACTGCAACATCTGCACGCGCGACACCGGGATTGTCTATGGCTTCGTTGATGTGAGTCGCGAGAACCCGTTTCACGGTAATCGGGGCTTCTTTGGCGACCACAGTGACGCCAATGCTGTCACCGTTGGGCATATCATTTTTTTCGTCCTTTAGAGATGTGTCGATGTTTACTTTGGAGGGCATTTTGACCGAAGTTGGCGTGTTGTTGATTTACTGTTTCCGGGAGATGGTGACCTTTAATACAACAATTGATGTGACATCATATTTAACCAAACTTCGACGTCACAATGCAATTCATAGGATTCGCCCTCCCCAACGTCATTTTGAGGTACTTGCTCCACATCATACGATAGTAACATGAGTACATGATGGTCGCTGATAAGGCTGCTAATATGCAATTGATAGCTAATGTTCTCTATCGACTCCTGTTCTGCTGGAATGTCCTGTTCATCTACAACCAACGAAATCGAACTAATAAACGGATATAATAATCTTGCAAACATCCTCTACCTATTCCTGAGTACTTAGCAGTGTCTTGTGAACATATTGATTCCAAACATGGCTCTTGTCGCCCAAAGCGCAACCTTCATCCACCAGTATATCTCTTCGTTTCTTCACTCCAAGCCCCGTAAATCTCCTGAAGCGCTGAAGCTAGGTATTCTATCCTCGGCGCAGATCAATGCCGCTGCAGGTATGTAGACCCTAGCTTTCTGCAGATCATCATGGCTCACGACGATTGATCAGTTATCCACCCCGCGGAAACACATCCGGATGTAATCTTATACGCTATTGCGTCTCGCGACGCTTCGACTGCCGCTCAGGCAGCTAAACAGTACAACATCACCAAATCGTACGGGTCATATCAGGAACTCTTGGATGACCCTGCTGTGGATATTGTATATGTGTCCACCCCCAATGGACAACATTATGAATGGACTTCCAAGGCCCTCCAGGCTGGAAAGCATGTGCTCTGCGAGAAGCCAGTCACATCAAACGCAGACGAAGCAAAGGGCTTAGTGAGCCTAGCCAACGAGAAAGGATTGACACTTGAAGAAGCTGTAAGTCTATGCTCACATCTCAGTTAGAAACTGATGGGCAACCTGACGCACTTTTAGTTCCACTGGCAATTCCACCCTGCAGCACATGCATGGCGGCATATTCTAGAGTCCGGCCAGCATGGCAGGATTCTGCGGACGAAGGCTGTGATGACGGCTAGTCCCGGTGTACCGAAGGGAGATATCCGATGGCAATATGATCTAGGTGGTAAGAGCTTCAACCTTTGGCTGTCACCCTACCATGGCTTGCTCTGACATTGTTTAGGTGGCTCGGCGATGGATATGACGTACGCCCTATCATTCACACGTTACGCCCTCCGCGCACGGCACCCTAAAGCCATCAACTCAGTCACTGCCCGCGTCTCCAGCGACGATCCGCGCGTCGACGCGGCCATGTACGCCTATCTGACATTTGTCGGACCCCAGGATACCGAGGTCCATAGCCAGATCTACACCGATATGGAACGGCAATGGGTTGTTGGTGTTGTTCCACGTTTCTGGGAGTTGCCTTCAATTGAAGTAGAGACTGAGAGGGCTATCATCTTCTTCTACAATGCGATGATGCCACATCTGTATCACTACATTGCTGTCACCGACAAGACAACGGGCCATACACGTTACCACAAGCAATACAAAGGAGGTCCTTTGTGGGGCAATATTACGACCACTGGCGGAAAAGGTGGCAGTTCGCACTGGAGTACCTATCGATGGCAGCTGGAGGCGTTCGTCGATGCTGTCAAAGGCAAAACACCTACATACTGGATCCCCGGAGAGGATAGCATTTGCCAGATGGAATGCATTGATGCTTTGTATCAAGCTGCCGGTCTACCAGTGCGCGGAGCGCCAGCTAAGAAAGGATGAAGCCACGGCCCAGATGGAGAGATCTTCGCATTGGGGATTCCTGGCAACAAGATGTTATGATGTTAATGACTGTTGATCGCGATTTTAATACCTTGAATGTGTTTTATTCAAAAAGTTAAATATAGGATTAATCAATGAACCTTGATTGTATACACCGATTCTCTTGGTTCATTGAGCAATCTTCGGCAATACAAAAGAAAGGATGCTGTGATTGTGTTGGGACACCACAGACAACAAATGACGGCATACCTTTGGGCCGGTCACGTGCAAATAGTAATTACTGCCATTATATACCGCCTGCCTTGGATTTCTTAAATCACACTCATTATGTAAACCAATACCAAACGCTCATTTAACATATACTAAGTATCTTTCGCATTTCCTTGTTTTTCGCATTTTCCCTTTTCAATCCAACTAGGAGGATTAAATCTGTGTGGGTGATCAGCTAGTAGTTTACGGCAATGGAAGGACTTCGGCGGGCATGCCATGAGGCGCTATCACAAAGACATTCAACTTCGTCGACTTTCCCAGAAGCGCAGGTAGTAGATATTACACTCCCGGAAGAATTAGATCTGTTATGGCAGGATGTGTCATCAGAAGGGAATACAAGTAATCTGGACGTAAGCAAATACAAGCGTGGATTATGTTGAATATAAGCACTTACTGATGACGCCTTAGATATGCGAAAGTCTCCTCGTCGCATATAGCTTTTTGAAAGCCCGGGGCCCGAAAGACTTGTCCGGTGCTGATGAGGTTGCTGCAAATCATATTTATTCCTGGGCAAGTGATGCTGCACTCCCGTCTCCAGTCTATGCTCAGCTAGGAGATTCATCGGATGGTGAGTTAAGATTCAGCTTCATCTGATGAATAGTCGTTCTAAAGATCATCACAGAGAAAAATGATGCTATCCTGGAAGACCAACTAAGGTCGAGGATTGCGTTGTCGGTGATTGCCACATTGAATGAATCACTGCCAATATCCAAAGCCGAGAATGCGGCAGACATTGTTATTGCATTAGCCAGCTTCTCATCCACAGAAGATCCATGGACAACGGAAGAAGCATTCACATGTGCCACTACCGCACTGGATAATCTTACTCCGGCAACTGCTTCCGACACAGAATCGAATACCACATTCTGGTCCGTGGTCGAAAGGATCCTCAAGGACAAAATTAGACCCCTCTTCGCAAAAACCAGAAACCCAGCTATCACCTCTGCCGGACGCAAGAACTTCCACCCCGTCCCATTACCTCGATTCGACGCCAGTATCCTAGACCCAGAAACCAAGCCATGGAAGATTCAAGACATTTATGCCACAACCGTCCTTTCCTGGATAACCCAGCAATATAAAGTACGTCCCCGCCCTCTTCCCCCTCATAACCACACCACTAACAACCACCCCAGCCCACCAACCAAACCAATCTTGAAACCCATTTCCCTTTGCTAGTCCCCTCAATCCTAGCCCTAATAGACGACGACACAACCTCCATCAAAACAAAAGGCTGCACCCTCCTCAGACAACTTCTAACCCCAATCCAAGCAACCAAATCCCCAATTCTCCACCGCACAAACCTAACCTCCGTCTTCGAAGATGCCATAAGACCCTGCCTCCTCTCCCTCCCCACCATAACCCCAGAGCCTGACTCCATAAACCTCCTGAAAGAAGCCTACCCAGCACTCCTCACCCTCCAAAAAACAACTTACACAAACACCCCCTCCCCATCCCCATTTCAGCAATCCCAATCCCAATCCCAATCCCAACCCAACAAACTCGAAACCTACATATCCCGTCTAACAACCACCCTCCGAGAAAACCTCATCCCATCATTCCACCACATCAGCTCAACAGATACGACCTCGCTATCATCTGACTTCGCATCATTCCCGTATCCGCGTCTCTCGACGCTGCTTTTGGAGCAGATCGTGACTGTCCTGGGAGAGCTGGGTATCCACACGACGAAGTTCCTGCAGGATATTATTCCACTATTGCATAATACGCTGGCGAATCCGTTTGGACCGGCTTATCCGCCGATGCTTTTGGGTGCTGTGGAGGTTGCGAGAATGGTGGTTTTGAATGCGCATCCGCGGGTGTGGAGGTGGAGGGGGGAGATTTTGGGTGCGGTGTGCGCGTGCTGGCTTCATGTTGTTGAGGAGGAGAGTGATATTGTGGATCGGGTTAAGAGGAACGGGTTGTCGGGGGAGAGTGAGAGTAAGAGTGAGAGTGCGGTTTTGAGGAGGCTTAGGAAGGAGTTGAGGGGGGTGGTTTATCTGCTGAAATTCGCTTTGCAGAATTCCATTCAAGTGGATGGTGGGGAGGGTCAATTGGAGGCGAAGGAGAATCTGGACAAGGAGTTGCGAGAGTTGGTTGATGCGGATGAGAGTTTAAGTGGTCTTCTTTTAGAAGAGATTGATGCCAATGATGGGAGCTTTTTTGGGGAAGCCTAGGTGGTGCTTCTTTTGTTCATAGAATTACTTATGCATGATCATGTAGTTAGAAAACACGAATCTGTACATCTAACATGCTAAGCTAAGACTTGTAAACGCTAATGCCGACATGATGCGTATGGGTATCGCGTCATTAAACTATCAATCATGAATCGTGGTATAGAAATATACATGCTGTTCAAATGTCAACTCGCTGTTTGAAAAGACTCTTGCCTCTCAACCATTGTCGATAGCGCTTGTAGCGCTTCATTTCATGGTCCTCTGCTGAAACTGTGAGTCCTTCGTCCGATATATTGAGGAACTCGGTGTAGTCTGCCATATTTTGATCCGCGTTGGCCTTGAGAGCGGAGTCTTCAACATTGCATTTGTTGACATACTCAATTAAATCCAGGTTTGACTCTCGTTCACGAGCAGAGGTGGCCGTAAGATCGTCCCTAGATGTCACAACAAGAGGTACCTTCAAGGGATGGTTGATATAGCGCTCATACTCCTCGGCCTCCGCGGATGTCACAGATGGGTTCAATGAGTCGCTCACCAATTGGCCCAAAGTCCACTGAGCGATTTGCGCTTTGCTAGGTGTAGAGCGCTGAGTATAATTGCTAGTCTGTGAAGCCCCAAATGATGAGTCTCTCATGAGTCCTGAGCCTTGATCGGTAGAGAGATGCCAATTTGGTGTAGGAGTAACAGTGTCAAATCGTGCCCTTTCCGGACGATCTCGGACGAAATCCGGCTCCTGAATCTTGACGCTCCGCTGCTGCTGTTGACGTTCCCTGTTGACCTGCTCGTTTGGGATTCGAGCCACAAACGGACTGAGATCATAAAGCGCTCCCGACGACGGACGGAAGGGGAGATAACGAAGAGTAGAATTCATCTTGTAGGAGAAGATCTTCGAGAATGATGAGACAGCCAATGGCCTGTAATATTCGAGCCAGTGATCATCATATCGAGACAAAGGCTCCTTGGGCGGGGATGGTGGCGGTGGCATCTCTTTTTCCTTAAGATTGTCCGGTGTATACCAGCGTATATAATTGGGTCGTGGCTTATTTGACCAGGACCTTGGACTAGCGTGGTGCAAGTAATAGTCGGTTGATAGATCCCAAAGCATTGGTTGACCCTGTGAAAAGATATAATTGCCCAGGAAAAGATTGTATGCCTCCTGTCGTTGTGCGTCAAGGAACGAGTTATTATAGTACCTTTTGAAACTCTCCACCATGTCTCGTGAATGGCTGCTCCATTGATTGATCTTCCGGTAAGTAGCCATTGTGTTGACTAGATGCGAACCTCCATATTGGATCGCAATGGTATCACCGTGATCATGCCACATGTCAGTAAAAAGATTGACCGCATCGGTGTCATATTCCACCGTTGTGCCTTCAATAATTCCGAGCGCATGCAGCTGGTGACCAAGTGCTCGTTTTCCAATCACAAATTGGGCGGCATTGGTGCGATCGAGGCAATCGATGCAATTTGTCCTCGCAATACCATTTTGTAACCTTAGGCCAGACTCTGCATCATGTCCATTCTTGAAAAATCCGGTCTTGGGGATAATCTCGCCGGCAATCTCTTCAAGTGTTCCTATCACATCCTGATCACGGCTTTTTGCAGCTCGACTCATATCCCAGGGCTTGTAGATAAGCTTTTTGTCTTCCGGCAAGAATTGGTTGAGGTAGTTTATGGCATTGGTGTATTCCTTAAGAAGCTTTGACTCTCGTGGGGTGCGCTCTCTGGACTTTATCAGGTTCAAGACATAGATCGGGGCCCCATATCTCTCAAACAAATTATCGAAATGCAGCGCTGCCGCGGAGTAGAATGGGTCGACCAGGTTTAATTCGATATCGGGCTTCGGCGATACGCCGGAATTTTCCTGTGTCCAGTAGAGAGGAATGCTTCCCCGGTGCTGAACATAGGAAGTGTAGAGAGGGTTTGCATAAAGGTCGGGGCCAGCGGCGTGGAATGAGGTGGTTGTCATTTCAGACACAATTTGCTCAGTCTCCACGTCATTGGCGACATAACCCAGATCGTTGGCGCCTCGTTTCAGGAAGCGTGCTCCCGCAAAAAACCGTGACCGGCGAGCGATAATAGTAATGTAAACCAAGCGGCCGTACACAGGCATCTTCGCTTGTTCAACATATCCGTGAATGATCGGCAGACACCACTCATAAGGGTTCTTCAGATTTTCAATGGCAGGGCTGAGAAGGTGATGATTCCATATGAACATTGTGTTGTAGTCCTGCTGAGAAGACTTCGGGTAACCGTCTTGATGAGCTTTGCGTTCTCGGCAGATATTGCGCTGCAACGTGTGGGTGATGTCGTAAGAATAACTGAAATAGAAAGACCGAGTTAGGTCAAGGTTATTGAGAATGGCGATATATCTAGCCTCTTCCGGATTCTTATCTGGCTTGAGTTTCGAGGTGCTGGAGTTAGTCAGAGAGATCAACTCAGTCCCATCAACCTGATAGACATAATGACCACCCAGCATAGCAACTTGACTCCTCTTAGTCACCAGTAGCATATAGTATGTCCCGGTGAACTTAATAAATCCCAGCATAGCCCATGCACTGCACCTCAGCTTCAGACCTCCCGATATCTTATTGCCGTCGTCAATAGCATCTAGTAATTGACTCATTTCTCTCTTGCTGTACACAATATCGTCTTCAGCGACGTTCAGATCACCCGTCTCGGTAGTTCGATCAATTTTCAAAATCTTGAAACGGGTGTCCGACAAGTCCATACCAACCATATAAAACCGCGTAGCAGTCTCGTACAGGGAAAATTTATGCATCCGGTTGATGCCTTCTTCACCGGTATCGAAGAACATCGAACGACGCTTTTGAAGGGATGTAGGAGTAGAGTCCCTCTCGAAAGATGTTGCGATACATGGCTCTTCATCCTCCTCGCCCCCATCATCACTTATGGTAGCTGCAGAGGGTGGGTTGTATGGCACTGGAGCGTAAGGGGAGAGCACTCTGGTTGGGGGTATCGAGGCGTCTTCTTGATCGGTGAATTTCCGGTCTACCTGTTCGTCGGATACTTTATTGCTGGATGTGGATTTAAACGATGCATCTGCGCTTCCTATATTCAAGCCCACTAGTGAGTTTGCCAAGCTCTGATCAGCAACTGACGGAGCCCTGGAAGAGCCGTCATCGACGGTTCCTTCAGCGGGATCGCGGGGACGGGTGATTTCTTCAAGACTCTCCATGTCTGTGGACTGAGGAAAATGGGACTAGGCATCGGCTGCTAAGGTATGAGGCTCTGATAAGAGTATCTATGAAATCATTGTCAACAATCACCATGGTTTGATGGTGAAGAGAGTCACAAAGAAGAGTTCAAAGGAAGCTGCAAGTTTGTTGTTGATGTTGATCGAGATAAGATAAAAGACGTCATGTGTTGTCTCTTACCGTACAATACCTACGGTACGCTCCCATGAAGCTCCAGTCGTACCAAGAAGCTGTAATTTATGCGTAATGGAACGATACTAGTGCCGCGCCAACAGGCGCTACCGTTTGAAGGATACGACTTCCTTCTATTGTTCATACTCTGTAGGTCTTGTTGCTGGTTTGACTCGATAGGTTACATATATGGCATATAATTCGCCAAAGGCTTTCGTCTGAACACCGTTCCCAAATCCATACCAACTAATAATGTCGGCTAAGTTTGCCCCTTTCAAGGTATAGAGCAAGCATGATGTTTTTATTTAGCGCAATAGACACTCAGATAGCCTCTACATACCATCTGCCAGTGCCTGAACATGTCTTGCCCATTCTGATCCCAAGACTAGGCAGAGAAGCGACTTTAGACTATTTCGAGTCAACTTGGATGACGGGCCCATGTCGTGAACTTTGCCCAGTACACGATGTCCCTGGTCATCCCGTGCCGAATGGAGCTGGGCAATGGGCTCACCTTGTTGACTTTCAGCAGACAGCCTAAAGCTGTCTCTCATAGACTCTAGGGGTAGCTTCTATATAATCCTTTGCAACCATGGAACAAATACATACGACCATAGGGTGTGGAGAACAGGGCTTCCCGTCCGCTCAGCCGTACTTAAGCCACACGCCGGGAGGTTAGTAGTTGGGTGGGTGA